TTTCGTGAAGGAACAAACATTGGGCACTTTATACTTTTGCTGCACCCCCCCCCCCCCCACCCACCCCACACTTGAGCGGTATAATATAGCATTTTCTCAGTGCGTTGTGCTGTGTCTTCGGGGCAGTGCAGAAGTTACTGAATAATAGTGGACATAGCACTTGACAGATTTCCTTTGCTAAACATTGACGAGTTTCCTGCCACCTTGTTCTAAATAGATATTGGCAGCTCAACAATAAAGTCGGTGTATGCAATGTATACACTGAAGTTGAAATTGTAAATACGCATGCAAATGTGAGGCAGCGTGGTGGAATCAGGCTTGCGTCAATTTTTGGGCATGTAGAGTTATTGGTATCATCTTAAAGCTTATTCACTTGTCTTTATTTGGATGAAAAAAATATCTTGAATTAAAGTCGAGATATTTGGGAATGAAGGAGATGGGGGTCACCCATTTTCAGAGGTAAAGTTAGTGAGAAATGGCCACCAAAGTTTAGTTATTTCCTTTGCTAAAGAGTCCGTAGTAACTGAAAATTTACATTTGAGCCTTAAATAGACATTGTTCAGAAAAATCCACACTGAAATGAGTTCTTTAATGGACATGAAAGGTGTTGAGCCAAAAAGCAAAATTTTACAAAAATTAAAAAAACTTCCGAAAAATGAAAGTTTCTTCACTTTGATTATTTTGACGAGAGCCTGATTCCACCACGCTGCCTCACAAATAGTTTTTACCATATTTTGAAAGATTCTATAAATGTCTGTTCTTGGCATTTACATGACAAAAATTGAGTAGATAGTGCCGTAAAACACCTACTCGATTAATCAACACTAAAAGAACTTACTGCACGTAAAAGTTCTAGTTTTCCCAAAACTACTCACGGCTTGCTTGTGTCGCAGCCAGGACGGAGAAGAGGACGAGAACTACAGCGGCGTTCATCTTGTCTTGCGTGAGGACTTTTTGGTGCAGCGTCAGAGATCTGCTCTTGTGGCGAACTGAAACTGCTCATGGTTTATATTCCAAAAGTGGTCATCCGGTGTTGACACACTTTTCCATCAGAAAATGGAAAGTGGTATTTTTGACACATACATTCTCAACCTGTGAAAGTTTTCGTTGAAAGTGTTTTGCGCCTTTCTCGACAGTCTGAATCTCTTTGGAAGTGCGCCGTTTCCACAATGTCTGTTCTGGCCAATCATGAGTATGTTGGGTACACCGCGGTAGGGACACGGGGGTACTCAGCAGAAAATCTCCATCCTGTTGGAATTAAACTCCCGTTTTTCATCAAAGAACCCACCCACCACCCCACGTTTGCTATGCAGCAAAAGTAAAGGTTGCAGAGAAACAAAACAAAAAGAACAGAAGATATCACACTACATTATTTTATAGAGTTAGCATCCGAAAGTAGAACCTGATAGCTTGGAATGAAGCTAGTATAATTCACATTTTGCTTATAACTGAAAGAATAATATGGGAATTGAACTCAGTTCTTCAGCATGCGTCGACAAGGCGCTTAATTTCTACTTTACAGATGCTAGTAGTTGCAATGCCATTGATTTGACAATTGCAAAAACTCTAGACACGAGATAAATGTGACTAAAGCCACTCCCTCTCGGTGTCTGCCTGTTAAGTACATGTTAGATCAAATTTGTTGGGGCTAAAAACAAAGCTCATCACTGTGAATCCTTTTTTTTAAAAAAGAAAAGCCCCATGCTTTTTGGAGGCTGGAATACACAAACACGTGTTATTTTTAAAAGGAAAAAACGCTGTTTTCCAAATTTTCAGCTCTGTAATGTCAACAAACAAGATTATAAAAATATATGTGTGTGATTCTGAGAAAACCCTTCACTAGGTAGGTGCAAAATTTCAAAATGACCTTTTTTGCATATATTTTAAAAGACACATCTTTTCCGAGCATTTTGCACTTTATTTGAAAGCAATTGGAGCATTCTGTGAAAAGTTATGGCATTTTAAAGCGAACAGGAGTTCGAG